ACAACAATAACGATGATTATTATCAAGAGGTAATGGATATTTTTAAATCAAATGAGCATCGCCTTCATTCTGATGATCAATTTGACTCATTTCATTGGTTGTGCTCTTCTAGGATTACGCTCACTTCCTTTATTTCTAGTTAATCTTATTTTTTTTTATAATTTCCTTTTTTTTCTTCAATAAAATATATATATACAAATAGCCTTATTTAAAGTGATACATCTACTGGCCAGTGAATTTATTCCCTAAACTTAAGGACCAAAAATATAGAAAGAAATATCCTTTCGTTTATATAATTGGCGGCAAAGCTAGTGGGTTCGCTTGTCCTATCGCTATGTTCAATTTGCATTAAAGTGCTTCTGCTAGTTTAGCTATAGATAGGTTTTATTTTGTTCTTCTTTAATATGTATTTAACTTATGATATTATTATCAATAAAATTAATGGCCTAAACAGTTTTCCTTACTATTGATCTAAAATTTCTATAAATTTGATTCAGAATCATTTGTTTGGGACGAGGCTATGGGGTATTGGGCGAAAACAAAATAGTTTTATTAAGGAATCGAAGCAACTACAAAAATATTGAACGTAAAGTTACTAACGTGAACATTTGCAGCAAAAGATTTCATGAATGGTTTAATATAATGTAATTCTGATTTCTTTGAGAAACCAATCATTATATGGGAGATTGATATTAAAATCGATAGTAAATCACATAATCTGTAACGTTTGAATAATAAAGAAATATACCTAGTACTCGAACGTTTTATTTATTGTATTTTTCTTACAATCATATAATGTAGCAAATCACTAAACAGTGTTTAATTTTAAACCAAAGCTGGGTTTTACATGCATGCTCTAAATGTGAAAATGTATTAACTGGATGAAATAAATTATACAATACTTGCAATACATCAGTTTCAAAATGCATATCAACTTCACGTTGAAAATTGCACTTTGAAGAATTTTGATCACGAGATGTAAATGACTAAAATTTTGACATAAATGTTTTATAAAGTTTGATTGTCTATAAAAAAGAGTGAATAAATATTAGATGTTATAAATTGTCATTCAAGTTATATTAAATAATCAAGACATTTGAAATCCTTCACCGTCAATTTTGAATTGAAACATTATGAGATCCATTAATTGTAACTTTTTTATTAACATTAATTAAAACGTCACCAACGGGTCATCGATCTATCCAAGCTTTGATAAATAGCAAAGAAACGAATGTTCCAAATAATGGGAGATGTTGAGTAAGATGATGACCTTAAATGGATCATTTAACGATAGATGTCCTGTAAATTCTTGTTTAGTTCCTTGAAATACTATTAGAATGCCTAAATAATTAAGAAATCATATTAAATAAAATTATCAAACCTATAATTACTTAAAAAAAATGAGTGTTTACCATGACAAAGGTCAACGCATTACGAATTAAAGTTAAATAGTTAAAACTCTATAATAAACAATTGAATGAATTTATATTTACAACTCAAAAAAATCCATCACTTACAGGTTGTCATGAAAATTTCCAAATACACTAGTGTAATTAAAAATATTTTCTAACATTTCTATTTTATGCATGCATATTAGTATATAAAGGTTGTAATTTTTGAATAGGGGATACTCTAAAGCACTATCTATTGCCCTTAATAAGATCTTTAAGATCTTACAAACATCCGCTATTTCACTGATTGAATGTCTACTCTCCACGACTTGAATGAATGCATCATAAAAACTATATTGTAATGCTTTGCTGCATCGATACGTATACCATTAAAATTGAATTCTTTGACAAGCTATTTAATTAATTCAAGGATCACTACAGGGACATTCAATATTTCCTTAATCTCAAGGTCATAATATTCAATTTTATTAAACGGATCATATATTTTAACATTTTCTTAGGCTCTAGGAATATTTTCCAACTATGGATTTTATCAGAAAAAAAAGATCTATTATAATTCAAAATCAAAAAAAAATGTTGTAATCAAAAGTGTAGGTTAAACATGCATCAACCATAACTTAACGTCTTTCTCGCGTGAGCTTTAAGCTTCTTGAGTTCTCAGCCGTACCAAAGCGTGGATTAATTTGATCTTGACCATCTATTGGTGCAGAATAAAATAATTCATTAACCAATACTTTTACTCTTGGAAAAAAAGGAGCTTACATCCGTGCCATTCAACACCGTATTTTGTTTCACCAACTTTTTTACGTTCGGACTAATCCAAAACCCTAAATTGATTAAGATTTATGTGAAAAATCCAACAATTTGAATAAAAAATAAAATTTGTTAAAATACCAAATCTTTGATATTAACAACTCCCAAAGAGTTCCACCACACAAATATCTAATTTCGTATCATAAGAACAGAGGTTGAGGTTTTCCTTGACCTGTGAGGAAAGAACAAAAAAAAAAAAAAATACGTTAAGGCATAATAATTTTAACATCAATTCGAAATATAGTTACCATGAGTTGTATAATTTTAACTAATCCTCCGCCTATAATTATGACTCCAGTTTTATTTGCAAATACAGCTTGTTTTCACATCAATAACTAACCGGGATTCTTAAAAGTATTAAAATAAATCAATCTACCCAATGAAGCATCAGTGAGAGCTGGACAATATTGAAATAATATTAATTAATTTCATTGAAAACATTCATCATTATCCACCGACTTAAAAGTACTAAGAACAGGAAATAAGAAAATGAGTAAAATGAAATTGATAAAAGAATTATTGCTCAAGCAATACGTCCGCATGGAACAAAATTTAGCATACAAAAGATAATATAGAGGGTTATCAAAAGCTTCCGAACGCTATTTTTGGAATGCGATTGATTTATATACATTCATGTTTGTTGATTTGTTTATTTTGCTTTTTAACTTCAAATTTCCCTTTTCACATTTTTTTTTTAACTTACGGCTACAACTGCAACAATGAGAAAAAATAACGAATTATCTGCGGAGCAACGTAGTGTGATAATTTATTGTCGTAAATCATATAGTAAAATTGCAGAAACTGTTGGATGTGGCAAAACAATAGTATACGACACATTGAAAAGGCATGCTGAAACTGGTTCTACACACTCTAAGCTTCGCCTCGGATGACCACATCTGATCGATATTACACGACGTAATCGTCTTAAACGTTTGGTAACAAATGAAAAAGCACAAAATTGACGATTATGTGCTTCTGGAATAAGGGAACTTTGAAGAAAAAAACAAAGCAAGATGTTTCTGAAATAACCATTCGTCATACTCTTCACTCACTTGGGCTGAGAAGTTGTGTTGCAAGATGATTTTACAGCAAATAAAGAAGCACGACTTGCATGATGCTTAGAACATGAGAGATGGACAAAAAACGATTGAGAAAAGTTTTATGGAGTGATGAATCGACTTTTACCCAATTCCAACAAAGTCAAACTAGCAGGGTATGGAGAGAACCAGAAGACGTATGGTCACTCTCTTTTGTTTCAGCATAGCCCAAGCCGCATGTTTTGAGTTATTTTTCACAAGGGATGAGACCGGTTGTACCAATTCATGGATCAGCAACTGGAAACACACATGTTGAAATACTGCGTAAACATGTTTTACCTACAATGAAACGTATGTTTCCAAAAAACAATGGTTTATTTCAAGAAGACAATGCCAAACCCCACAAATCGAAGGTTGCATCATCATTTCGTGCGGAAAAAAACTTAACCATTCTTTCTTGGCCTGCCCAAAGCTCAGACCTTAACCCAATTGAAAATTTATGGGCAGAGGTGAAAAAAAAATATTAGAAATAAAAAGAAAAAACCAACTTGCCTTACTGATCTTGAAAGGGATGTTAAAAATGCATGAAAATCGATTCCAAAGTGTTAATTGAAAATTTAGTCGATAGTATGCCAGCACGAATTCAGGCGGTGATTGTGGCAGAAGGTGGCCCAATTGAATACTAGTTAATAGTACGAAATGTAGCCTTTAATACTTATAAAATAAAGTTATAATATAGATTTTTTAACAATTAAATGTTTTATGTAAGAAATCGTTCAGAAAATTTTGATAACCCTCTGTATATATAATGATATAATTATCAAAGAGAAAAACGGAGAAGATGGACGCTGGTTATGACGAACATATACAAATGTAATATGTTATATACCCTTAGAAGTTGCGATTATGTGAGTAAATTTGGCGTGAAATTTGGGGAAGATTTTGGTTTACTAATCCAGATATTATACAGGTTAAAGTAAAAGTGACTACGCTACGTCACAATTTATTAATGAGGCTAAAATTTGATGATATTAAGATATATACTTGATTTATTACACAATATTGTCAACGAAGAGAAACAAGGTCCATTTGGTATATTATGGACTTTCTGTTTTAGCTGAAATAACTATTAAAGACTTAAAATTAGAAATCGAAGGAATAAAAAACTTGTAAAGACAAAGAACGACCGAAAAAAGTTTACAGAGTCAGACAATATATCACAATGAATGAATATGGAAATTTCTAATAATAATAATTTTGTCAATTACATTCTTGGATTTATACGCAATGATACAAATAAATCAGTATAAAATTTCTTAATTGATTGGTATTAAAGTTCCTAATTAATTTTATTGTATCCCCCATGATAGATGCCAAAATATCTGTATCAAAAGAAGGAATGACTTTGTTATTTTTATCATTGCAATAAATTGGATGTTAAATTGATCAACGATTTGTAATTGTACTAGTTCATCTAATTCTCCATTAAAGATAACTATTAGAATATGTTTATATATTTTTCACACAATATCTAGGCATTAAATTTTGTTTCGTCTTCATCTCCTTCTTCCAAGAATTTATTTCTTAGTGTACCGTACCGAACAGATCACCGGTAACTATGACAAAATTAATATGGAACTTATGGATGTTATTAATCTTTACAAAGATTAATTAAGATCTGTCATTTATTTATAACTTTAATATTTTTTATTTGTTGGAATTATGACAAATTCATTTATTGCTAGTAATTTGGAAGATTAAAAACGAACTGTACATGCCTACTCGTCGAAAACACATGCTCAACAATTCGATTATAATTAACCAGTCAAAATAAATATCAGATATGTAATGATGGAAGTAAATGCAGTCTTATTACCATAAACAAATCGAAATGGTTACTTGGGATATATAATTATGATAATAACATGGTAAAAATCTTTACATTTAATTTATTAAATTGAAAAGTTCAAAAGTAAAATGAACATAAATTTTATTTTTATAATTATAGCTTAATGACGAACAAATAAATTTTGCACACGTATTAAATATTCAAATCCTTGGATGGTACTATAATTCTAATCCAGACTTCATTTTATTTATTTGACGTGAAAAATTTATAACTTTGCTAACGGTCAGATGTTTCTCAATTTCCTGCTGAATAAACCAAAAATTTAAGCACATATGATGGCACTTGTATTGTTGCATTTGTAAAGTGCTGCGGCGTATCAACGAAAATAGTAGTACATCACAATAAGTGTTGAATCCCTCAAAGGTATAGTTAAAGATTATGCAGATTTAATTTTAACTTTTTTTTAAAAAAATTTTCAAGTTATTGATATTTAATAAATTTTATGTCATTAATCGTTAAAATTTCGGATGATAAAAAGCAAAATATCAAGGTAAATTTGATCATCTTGATAACCATCCGTCATTAAATTCCAAAAATAATCATTATTGGTGAGGTGATAATCACCTGAGGAAAGAGTGTTGTAAATTGGATTAACCGATTGACAACCAATCTAGTAAAGGGATTTAATAGCGATTTATTATTTATTACCAAAAGTATTATTTGTGTCAAAATTTTATTCTGAGCTTAGGGGTGTAATATGGATATCGTTAAAACTATTTTTATCTTGGCGTTATTATAGAATTTATCAAAGATTCAAAAAGTTTATCGAACTTTCAAATGACTAAAAATAATAGAAATATTCAAATGAATACCATTGTAATGAAAAATTAAATTTTTGCTTCGCAGAACCTTCAGCAAATTAGTTTGAATTTTTTCGCAAAATGATTGATTTGAATTACAAAGGTGAGAATAAAAGGAGAATTTTTTGTATTTCTTTTTTTTTTTTTGTGTTTCAGAGAAATTTCGGAGGATTTTAAAAATTTTATTTTGAGTGGATTTGGATTGACAATTAGAATTTCCTAATGAATAAATAAATAAATTTTAACATAATCTCCATCTGGTTATTACCCATTTCGGGTTAATCTCCCTCCCCCTTAACTAATCAAATGTTATTATTTTCCAGTGAACAACGCTGTTGTAAATTTTAATAATATTTTTCAATACAATTTTTTTATCAAGCCTACGTTTATTGCTTATCATGCTCAGAGATTGAAAGCATTCCATAGAAAAAAATACTTTAAATACTTTCCCTGTGAAATATAGCATTTTATTTCAATAATTATTATGTAAAACGTTGTGAAAAAGAAAGCATCATACTTTTTACTATTCCCTATATACCATATTCACATTTATGAAGAAATTCGTTTTATTGCTAAATTCTCCTAAAAAAATAAAAAGTAAGTAAGTAAAGTGAGATAACAAATTTATACAGATGGGTCAAACAGTTCGCCTTGATGGGTTGAGATGATATTGGAATTTACTTGTATCCACCAACTAAGCTTATTTTTGTCTGATTATTCTTACCAAATAATATTTCTCACCAGAATTTGCTTTTTAGGGGATAACGTTAAATTGTTCAGATCCTATTAGTGTTTTAGGCGAAACTTTTTTTCAACATCCGAAACGTTTCGCCCAGAGAATTTTTATATGATCCGAAACTCCGAAACCCCAAATTTGGAAAGATTTTTGCATATCAATTTGGCGAAACTAGATTCGCCCAAAACACTAAATTCTATGGAATTAAGTAATGCCATCATCGCCGTTACCTGGAAGTGTTAGGAAAGAAACAAAACATTATTGCCAACTTCACCCTCCGAAAGTTTGGGTCGTGCATTTTTCACGGAAGGACAAGTGGAACTGAGTAATTACTCAAAAAGGCGCTAAGATAATCATAGATAAAATAAAAAAAGTATGTAATACAGATACTTAGCTATGTTAATTTTGAAACTATCTAGAAAATCGGAAAGCGTTAAAATGCCTTCGTGAATAAAATATTTCAGAAATCACTTAATATAGGGATAAGGAGTATCCAAAAATGGAAATTATGGTGGTTTTTGTGGAAGTACGCTTTTCAGGAGAAATAACAAAGTTTAATAATTCTAATACAGTAAATTGTCCTTCGCTTCATTTCAGACAATTATTACTAAATCGAAGTTTTTATATTAACTAATCCATATTGACGATAATCCATATGCGCCACAAAATGATTTAATATATATTTATTTTATCATTTATCTTTATTTTATTTATTATCATTATTATTATAGTTATAGATATTATCGTTATTATATTAAATATCTCTTTA